ATGCTTCAGTGGTTTTGCTTTCTAGAGAACCCGGACTAAGCCTAAGACATTTTTTACTGAGAGTGGTTTTAGAGAAACAAAATCATAAGGATGAATTTTCTAAACTGGTTTTCAAGTGTAATCATAAAGGTGCTGTTGACTCTTTACTCTGATTCTCCAGTAGTAAAGAGGACACTGCTAATCCATGGTGTGAAGTGGCAACATTAAAACACAAAATATCACCACCAATAGATCAAGTATTCATGAGAAGCAAGACTCTGGGTGATCACATGTTTGATACATTTCTACAGTTTTGCCAGAATGAGAGTATAGGGAAGCTGGTTGGTTACTCCTACTCAAAATAGACAAAATGGTGAAAGAAAGAGATGAGTTCAGGACCTCGGAGTCACAGCTCAAGTACCACATAGAAGACCTCAGAGTTGCCACTTGTGCCCTGAAAGAAACCCTTATTTCTTGTAGTAACAGAGCTGATATTGCGAAAAACCAAACCTAGAGTCTTACTGTAACAGTGACTGAATTACAACGTCAATTGAATTCCCAGCCTTGAATGGTACCTGAAGTTAAAGTGAGGACATTGATTGGAAAGAAAAGAGATCCTGAAACTTGGGTTGAGGATATATAGGTGGCTAATCAGGAAGCTGGGGACACTGAACCCCTAAATTCCATTGAATCACTCCTGCCTACAGAACCATCTCTCTTACTCCCATCTGAAGTGATCATTCCATCTTTGTCTCCTAAGCCACCTCCCCAGTAAAACCATTATCCCTTCAATCCACATCTGATAAGAATAACACAGCTGTGCCTGAAGAGTCTTTGTCTGAGACATCACCAGGGGTGACCCTAGGGGATTTCCTGGGACATGGCCTGAGGTACATACCTTACAAGACATTGCTGAATGTTCCCAGGACCCTCTACCACCACCCATTTTGGCTTCTAGACCTATAACTAGACTTAAGTCCCAATAAGCCCCAAAAGGTGAAGTACAAAGTGTGATCCAGGAGGAGATACACTCCAAAAGAACCGCTTGACTTTTGCAATATGTACAAACAGAAACCAGGGAAAT